ATATAACAAAAGTACATTGTGTGTGTGTGTGTGTGTGTGTGTGTGTGTGTGTGTGTGTCTGCATTTGGCAATCTTTAGTGAATTCGTCTATAAAGCATACACTGTAAAGGAAAAAGAATGTAACAATAAATGACAATATCTAAGTAGCACAGGAAAAATTTACATATATAATTAATGGCACTGTTTACATTTATTCTCTATTATAAAATGATAACCAAAATAATGGAAAACATGGCATATTTCTCCAAATCACAATTGACTCAGAGAAGTTTCATTCTTTTGGTGATTACAGCAGTTCATCTACAGAACCAATGTATTTCAGTGTGACTCATAAAAAAGATTCCTCATAATCCATATAGTGAAATTATCGTTAATTTAAAACAAGCATTGCAGCCTCTAATTATCATCCATTCTAAAAGCTAAATGACTGAAAAGAACACACCTTGACTCCCACCGTCCTTTTCCATCATCCTCAAGACTCCAACTCCAAACAATCCACACACACTTTCTTAGTAGGCAACCGGACCGCCGAGAGGGTTTTCAAACACCATCACCCCGAACGTCATTCGTCCCTTTAAATAAAATGAGACACCCACTCCGTCTCTCACACTACACTGTTAGATGTTAATGTCACTGTCTCTCCACTGGTGCTCCTGATGCAATCCCACACTCTTGGCTCGATCTTTCTTTTCTAACTCGAAGTGCACTTAGACCTTTTTGCACCACTACGCCCAAACCAAACAGACAAAGCCTTACAGTCCTTTGAGCTCCTCCTGTCTTTCCCTCCTTTCACCACCAAACTTCGTGCAGTGGGACCTAGAGTGGGTGCTCTCTACCACCTCCTCCCTCAACTAACCCTCCTGAAAGGCATCGTCCTCCCTCCACACCACTGTCCACTCCACCGCCACTGGTGGTGACAGGGCCACGCAGAAGCCTTCAAACATTCTGGGAAGTCATCTGGCACCAAGGAGTACTCCCTCCTTAGTGAAACACTCTTCCATCTTTTAAATGCAGGGAGATGTAACGGATTACGATGGGCACTGGACTCATAAAGACTTGGTCTCGAGTATCAATTCCACCAACTACCAGCTACACAACTTCATGGACAAGTCATCTCTCTCAGCCTCAACTTACTCCCCTGTGAAGTCAGAAAACTACCTACACCTCACGAGGTTGT